TGTGTGTATGTGTGTGTACATGAGCATGCAAAAGCCAATTCGCCCTCATACACACACAGATAGGACAATAAGGAAGGGCCTATCCATTAGTGTGTGACAGTCCTGAGAGATAGAGCAGGGAGCAGCAGTTCATCTAATAACAAAGTGATGCGTGCAGCTCCGTTCTTTCAGGTCTTCCAGACTTTCTATCTGCGTGGTAAATTTGCAAATACAAATTGTGAAGCTGAAACAAAACAGAGAGTAAACCCAATCTGTTCGACTCAGGAGGGGAAAAAAAAAACCCCAATCTGTAACACACACCGGTGAACTGGGAGGGAGGAACTGCAGCTTGTTAAAATTCACCATAGGGAGAACTGCAAAAACATCAGAATGCAAACCCCAATTAAATAGCATTGATACTGAACTGGCCCTGCATGATTTGAGTGTGTAAATGTTTGTTTTTTAGGGAGAAAATGAGTGCTGTGTTTTGTGCTTTTAAGAAGCAGTGTGTGTGTATTAAGATGCACGCTGCATGCTTTCTGCATCGGATTGCAGGATTAGGGATTTGATTCCTACTGGGGATAAATGAAGCCAACATTCAAGGTGCAGCACTGTGTCACATACTGTATACTGCTGAATATCACATATCTTTTAATCAGCACCATATACTTCATATACTTACTGGCAGCGTAGAGAGCGACTTTGTCCTGGTCTGCATGTTTGAGCAGGTTCTCGGCGTAGTTGAGCCGGGCTCCTTTAAACCACTCTGGAACATCCGAGATCTGTTTGGATACATCCACAACCTGGTGCACACCCATAAAACACACACACACACACGCACACACAGGAGAGGTTGTGATTGACAGAGACCATACATTTCAAAGCTTTGGTGCTCTTGCTGACACAGAACTGGGTCTTATCCTCAATATGTTAATATGTTTCTTTCTCATTAAGTAGACTTAAACTATATTGCTATAGACAGAGCGGACAGAACACAAAACTGTACGATTAAAAAAGTAAAATGGAAGACAAAAACTGAAATCTCTGCATTGGGCTCTGACAACAGCCCTCACAGGACACTAATGGGACTGTGAGATAGAAGTCCTTAAAAACTGAAAGCCACTGTTTAAACACTAATGGGGCACATGTCTCTAGCACTGTAACAGCTGATTGTGTTACTGTGCTTGAAACAAAAACAGCCCACTGTGCATCACAATTACAAAATGTTTGATTGACTGGTTTATTGTCTCCCTGTCTTCCATCTAATCTCTGCTGGGACTGCAACCTACCGGAGGATTAGGTGGGTAAGAAAACGTATGATTAAAAAAAAAGAGCCTGTGACGTGGAATGTGTTATCCGTGTGTACAAAAGGGGTGTGTTTACAACGCGGCACAGCACCTTAAGCTCAGACACTATTTATTACCGCACACGCTCACCTAAGTGACTATATCCTGGAACCAAGCAACATTAAGAGGCAAGGCAGTAAATTCAATTATGAACACACAAATGAAAAATAATTCACTGAAACCTCCTTTTGCAATCTGTCTGTTTAATGTAACCTTGATAAAAATGGGGACAAATTTAATGTCAAAATATTCGCTTAAATTTGGTCATAAATGCCGTTATATGCCTTACAGTCTTTGAATTTCAGACTGAGTGGAAAACAATTGCGCAGTATCAGCAAAAAGAAGTGTGCAAAGTGTACATTTTAGCTAAAGATGTGTGCTTTCTGGCAGCCAGTGTGACGAGTATCATCAATTGGATATTTTCATTTATGTAAAGTTTTTCAGTCATATTCACACGTCAAACGTTCAGGAAACAATGGGCCTCGCTCAGGATGAGAAAATAGAGGGGGTCTGATGTAAAATTAGAAACCCAATGAACGTGTTGGCTGTCAGGCCATAGGAGCAGTACAACGGCACATAACAGAACGACCCTTCGAGGCGCTGCAGAGAGACTGCCAGCTCTTGAGAACCCCTCGTTTCACGTAGCTCAAGGATGGATATGGTGCCAGTTTTGATATCCGTGTTGCAAATCATGCAAATCAAGTGTGCCAAAAATAGTGAAATACTCTATGCCATGTCACATCAGCATATACTTTGCATATGAACAAACCATTGGTGGAAATGTGATAAAACAAACACAGTGAATAATGACATTTTATGGCCACACAGGGAACAATTTCACAGTTCCCTCGGGATAAATAAAGTATCTATCTATCTAAATGGCTTGTGTATGTTTGAGGTGTGACATTAAAGGTTCATTTACCACCGTATAATGTATTATCATGCAGATTAGACAGACAGCTGATCGCCACCACTAAAAAAAGAAAACTCCTTCAGGTGAAATACTGATCGTTCATTAAATCGTCGAGGTAAGCTCCTCTACTTTGTTTTAATTTGTTACCGTCAGATGACAATGTGGACTCACCTCTTCATACGGTTTAGAGCTGACTATTCCACTGAAGCGCCACACCTCCCCCCAGAACTCTGAGTAGCTGTCCACCGACCACTGGTACAGATCATTGTAGTTGGCTAGAGGAAGAGATTTATAACAAAAATATTAACTTACGGGTGTGACTATCAGCTCAAACATAGATTGTAAAGCTTCCACAGTTGAATCAACACAAGAAAAGATCAGACATTAGTACCGCTGAGGCAAAATAAGGCAGATTACTTGTAAAGCCATGGGTTAAAATCAGCCCCCCCAGGCCTGTTGTGTTCCACTGATAACCATAAAACAAACCATAAACCAAAGAAAATTCCTACAAAATGAATCTCAGTTAGTTTCAGTGGGTACGGTTCGGTTTCTTCATCAGTCTTGACACACAATTTACAGCAGTGGTTCCCAGTTTTCGTTGGCTTCTGACTTGTTCTATGCAAGTAATGGCAACTCACAATCAGAAATCAGCATGTGTCTGTGAGCTGTAAGAAGATCAGCCAAAGACCGTTCCCTTATTAGGGTGCTTCATTAGTACACCTTTTATGTGCAATTCAATTTTAAAAACACATTTGTTCAACACCACCATGTTTTATTGCACATCTCACACACATCTTACACTCAGGCTACTGTCTCTCCTCCCCAGTTACGTAACCTCTCTCTCTCTCCCTCTCCCTCTCTCTATTCAACACCCGGCGGACCAAGTTTTTCAGCATTCCTCCACAACCCTGTTGGACCAATTGACACGGCAGCGCAGAGACGAGTGAAACAGGCCGCTCTCTTTCATGGCAGCTCTGCAGGCACACAGCCCTTCAGTTAGGAGCTGGGAGTCATCTGAATATGAGAGCATAGCAGAGCTGCGGTGTTGCAAACAGGCCCTTATTATCAGACAGGGAGCGGCGAGCATCTTTATTAACAATCTTAGTAGGCTAACTCAAACCTGCAGGGATGTGTTTTCTGCTGATTCACTGTCTCTTTAGTGCAAATGGCTGCACACCAAAGCTAGCCTGAAACACTGCACTGCAAAGCAGCTTTAGACAGTGGCACTTGAGAGGTAATAAGCTGTCTGTCAGGTAATTACACAACATATATGGACAGACAGACAGACAGCAGGAGGGGACATTGTTTCTGTGTTTTTATTTAGCTCACACATCCAGCGTCGTAGGCTCAATAAAATCCCGACCTGTATTTACTCAGCGACCCTTTCTCTCTGCCTGTGTCTCATTGGCAGTCTTCCTCCCTCCTCTCCACTCACCCAGATTAAGTCCGTAGTCCCCGTTGACCTGTATCCTGAACTTGTCCATCTGTGTGTTCCTCTTGGAGTCCGGGTACCACAACACCTTGCTCTCCATGTCCATAATTTTCTCGCTCTTGCCTTCCGTGTCCTTAGACATGTTTGTCGCGTCCCTGTTCGTCGGCTGCCAAACACCGGTTAGCGGGAGTCCCGAGCGCCTTGCTGAAGCTACCTGTCCCTAAAGGCGAGGGCTCGTGGTGAAGGAGATCACTACTTAGTCTGAATGGCTCGAGACTTACAGCTCACGACAGCTAGCGAGGCTCACTGTCTGTCAAAGGCAAGCGTGGGGCTGCGGAGGAAAACCGACAGACCACGCCCCGGCGTCATGACGTCGCCGAACGTGCTGGGTTCAAGAACGCTCAGAGGATCAATGCCGTTCTATAGTATTACGCCATGTGTTTAAACGTCATGTATATTGATCCCTGAGAACGAGAGTCTTCTTTAAAGGGGGCCGATAACTTATTAATCATTATAATGATCTTAAAGGATCTCTGAGAAACTCTTCCTTGTATAAATATAATACACTTATCAATATGTCAACCCCTAATTTTAGTTTTAAATGAGAGATTAAGTGAATACTAGGTCATCAAATGAGTTTGATTGAATGAGAGCATTGGTATGTAAAAGTGTGTGTCCCCTACCAATATATTATTATAATACTTATAGTATATTTTGTTAATAATACTTCTGTATTTCTGCTTCAGAATCATTTAACTTGCAACGGAGCTTTGCTACATTGTGGCATTGGAGCATCAGGAGAGGGTCGAAATACCTCTTCCACCGCTGTAGTTTCATAAATTCACTGTTTCACACAAAATATGAGACACCCATCATATGAAAACAAGTACCAACTAAAACTATTATGCCAAAAGTATTACTAGAATGAATGTAATTTGTAACATAAGTAACATTTCTCGAATGGATGCAAAAGCACCGCAACATTTTACTGCCAATCCTGAAGTAGTATACAGACTACATGCTGGCTGTTTAAAACTCGAGATTGTCCACTTGCCAACTGAGATGCATGCATTTCTTTTAATAAAAACATTTCATGGATTTTTCTTAAACTGCACACAAAGACTTTACAGGATGCAACTGTACAAGTCTTGAACATACCCGCACGTGAACGCGCTATAGAACAGAGTCCAGTCTAGTCTCTCGTGCACGCGGGAAACTTGCCTGTCAAATTGAAGGATTTTCATTGGTCCTCAGCACACTGGTTCCACATCAGCCGACGGATCGGTCTATGCAGGGGGCGGACCGTCACCGCTGGACGGGCGTGTCGGTTGAGCAATGGCAAGCTGCTTTTGGCTCTTCAAAGCAGGCACATAGACCAATCACAAAGCGAGAATGTAGGAGCATTTTAGGGGTGTGCCCAATCAGTGAGAGGGAAGAACGACCCTCCTCACGACCTGGCAGTGGTGTCATCTTCACTTTGATTTAATGATGAAGAAAAGAGTTTAGCCGTGTGTTCTTTACCAATCACTGTGTGCCCATTATTCATTTATCCTTATGATCATTTCACAGTAATGACCCATCACATTTATTTTGGGACACTTTTTTTTATTATAACCTGATGCTGTTACAATTTGTAAAAAAAAAAAAAAAAAAGTTGACTCTTTGTCCACATTTATTAACTCCAAATGGAAATATAATCCATCTACATTAACCGTTAACCTCATTTCCCTTTGTCAAGTAACTGCACTGAATGGGCTTTCCAGCTTTGTGACCTAGTTTATTGTCATTTGGCTGCATTACTGTACTGGCACAGAAGGTACAATAATGAAAGAGATTGACTGAGCTAACCAAAATGTTGTAACCTTTATAATGATTTTTTTGGTAATGTGGTATCAGCATAAAAGCTGCGTAAGACCCAGAGTCCAGATTGCAAAAATGAAGGCTTCATTTCTCAAACCAAACCCATCTACCCTGAAATCCGAGCAAATATGTGGGCCTGATACATACTGGGAAATCACATAAGGAACACTGAGTAATGACACTGTCTTCTGATTTGCAGAGTTGCTCTCAGCCACATATCTTTTGACCAGGCCTTTATCAAAGGGGATGTGGAAAGACCTTGTTAAAAGAATTAGCCAAAACATGCAGGATATGATACCACTATTTGGGTGCGTTTGTTAATATTTCCAGGAAGTTATTGCTATCAAACATATAGCTGAGTGAAATCTGGCATGGTTGAAGCATGGAGAATATTTTGAAAATTTTACATTAATATTCATATGATGAAAATAAGGGAAGCAGCTGGTATTGCTGATGGGCTCCCAGCTTACCACAAAAGCTGGCACAGCCACAGTGTACATTTTGTGGAACTTCAGAATACATGATGCATCTTTACACAAACAGATTCAACATCCCTTTTCTGTAAATCTCAATATATTTTGAGAAGGAAGAGGTGTATATTAACAGTGCTGACTCTGCTTAACAACATATAAGTTCATTTAATGTAGCTACTTTGCCTCTGCTTTACATAGGTTTTATGGTTTTTCATTTTAAAATCTCTCTTCAATGATTGAAGAGATGACATTTTAAAATGATCTACCAATACAAAAATACAAAATTTGCATTTTTTAAAAAAAAACACTCACCAGAGACTAAAACAGTCTAACAAGAAAAAATATGGATTTGATTTATTTTGTTCAGATTTTAAGTTTTAAATCCCTCTTTAAATTTGTGATGGTAAAAGTAATTTGATTTGACTTTATGTGTTTCTTAGGTTAGTCCTTAGGATTATTTTCACTCACCATGAATTACTTGTGAATTTTTCTCCTTCTGTGCCTTCTTTAAAAAGATTGCAAACACCTGGCATTTAGATATAATTCTGTTAATCTGTCTTTTGATGACTCTTTGACTGACTGTGTCCTGTACATGTTTATTGAGATAAACTTTTTTGTGGCTGATTCTGAAATTGAAGTTGACCTTAAATGGACCTTGGCATCAAGTGCACAAGTGTCTGTTTTATCTGTTTAACCTGGCTCTGCCTCTACATGTGCTCATATCTCCTGCAGGAGATAGCCAAAATTCACATTTTGTAACAAACAGCAGCTACATCTTTTAATTTTGTTTTATTGCAGAATTCTCTCCCATTGACTGCCCGTTTGGATGCCATGATATAAAATGTGTAATTGACACACATGCATACTGTCATCTGTTACAGTATGCATGTGGATGCATATGAAACGTATGTTACATTTTGCAAAACATTTAGCTGACTTATCCAGAACCTACAATGAACCAGTCTATCAAACATGCTCAAGTTTAATAATAACATCAACTTCAGTAAGTGCTTTTGTAGCATGACAGATAAATTACAGCATAAGTATGTCAAATAAAGAATAAGTAATACATATTTCTTATTGATTTAAACAATACATACAGACAGACATACATTTGCTTTCTCTGGATCTTAGATTGACCCACAGTGAACCTATATCTTTTGCAGTTAATCTCCTGGTGTCAGGCTGATTATTCCTTTGTCATTATCCTTTTTTTAAGCTTTGGCTAAATTATGTAATCAAAAGTCCCTTTAGGACAGACCTTCAAATGGGTTTAGTTGCATCATCAGTGACATCAGTGATAGTGGTCAGGTGAGGTGCCTGCGCAGATTGATATTCATATGATTAAAAAATAGGGGAAGCAGCTTTGCTCATGGGCTCCCTGCTTACCACAAAAGCTGGCACAGCCACCACATGATGCATCTTTAAACATTCTTTGGCCACAACATCCTTTTCCTGTAAATCTCAATATATTCTGAGAAGTGAGTGAAAAAGTCACAAAACAAGAAATAATATCTTCAAAATACATTTTTATTTTCTTGTATGCCTTCTTTAAAATATTTAAACACGTGGCATTTAGATAACAGTGCATGATTCTGTAAATATCTTTTTATGACTGTGTGCTGTAACATGCTCATTGAAGCGTTTGGTGGTTTATTTAAATGATTCTGATTGACACTGAAGTTTACCTGAAATGGACCCTGGCATCACTCCACAAGTGCCTGTTTGATCTGTTTATCCTGGCTCTGCCTCCACATAAGCATATATATCCTGTGGTCCAGCCAAAATTGTTGTTTCATCGTGAAATTCTTTCCCAATGACTGCTCTTTGGATCCTGTGATGTAAAATGTGTAACTGACACTCATACTGTGACACCTATGTTACATTTTTGAAAATCATTTAGTCTTATCCAGAACAACCTACAGTGAACCTTACAGGACAAACTCAGAGCTCAGTCAACCAAGTATATACTGAAGTGCTAAGGAATTCTGCAGCGTGATTTATGTTGCAGGTGCCATGTCAAATGAAGGTCAAGGACTACTACTTGTATTTCTGAAGGATTTAACCACTAACTTACAGACAGATGCCTGTTTGCTCTCTCTACCTGAATCAGGTGATTTCTCTGGATCTCAGATTAACCCACAGTTGACCTCTTCAGTGTCAGGTCAAATAGTCTACCAACTTTGCCATGCTCCCTTTTAAGTTTTGACCAAGTTATGCAATCTGAAGTGGCTTGTGACATGATGGCACAACTAGTCTTTTTGAGTTGAGCACTATAAAATGTATGTAAGTCTATGGTGGTAAAAGTATTGAGACTTTATTGATTTATTGTTCTATTTTTTATTAGCACACACAGTGAGATTCATGATTCCAGATTCAAGGCTTATTATCATATGTACAGTATAAACACAAGGCTAGTACGCACAATGAAAATCTTACTTTGCCCGACTCCCTGAAACACACACACAAGTAGAACAGTAAGAACATAATAATTAAAAAAATATAAATTTTTTCAATATAATTTTTTTCAATATAAAATATAACTTACAATCTAAAACTTAAAGTGCAGAAGTAGCTGTAGACAAAGAAAAACCTGAGTAGAAAGGTGTCTGCTGGGTTTCTTCAGGAGCTGGTGGGTGTGGTGAGACCAGGTGACGGTCTCCGCTGATGTGGGTTCCGAGAATTTAAGGTTTTCACCTATCCTACTCTGTCTCACGATGTACAGTGGGGTGTGCTGTTCTCCTCCCCCTCCTAGGTCAATAATCATTCCTTGTCTTGGTTGTGTTCAGAGAGATTATTTTCAGAACGCAGGCACCAGTCGCTGCCCTCTCTTCTTATGCTGTTCGCCGCACAACTGATAGTCGCATGACCGTGGTGTCGTCTGGCAAAATTTATCTGCAGGTGTTGGGTCTGGACGACCCCAGTCGTAGGTAAACAGGGTGTAGAGGCAACGGCTTAGCCGCAGCCCTGGTCCCTGTGTCACAGCTTGATGTGCCTGATGTCCGGTTTCCAACTTTGACTGACTGGGGTCTGTCTGTGAGGAAGTTCAGCACTCAGTTACAGAGGGAGGGTGTCAGTCCAAGGGTTGTCAACATTATTAGTACTCATATTAGTATTTATTTATTACACTGCTGTTGTATATTGTAGTATACATATTTTTACACACTTATTCTTATTTACTGTACTTTTTCTGTATATATATATACTGTAATATAATGCACATTATTTAATATTCTTCTTATTATTATTTCTTTGTTTAGCAACTTGAGAAACTGTAACACAACCAATTTACTTACTTTACAATTTAACATTTGCATTCCTTATCAGTTTATCAGGTGTTCAAACTGCTACGTGTGTGTGTGTGTGTGTGTTTGTGTGCGTGTGCATGTGTGTATATACTCTCCCTTTCTGTTAAATGGTATCATTGAGTACTGCATAGTTTATTCTATTCTATCATTTCTGTGTTTAAATACCCCTCACTTTACTTTACTTTCATAGTCATTCTCATCATATGGCAGTTTAAAGGAGAGCAAACTAAGAATATGAGTTTTATAAAATATTTATTTTTTCAATAGGAGCAGAGCTCTTTATGAGCTCATTTTAGATACGGAAAGAAAATTAGTTTTTCTATTGTATATAAAATAAGCAAGTTTGTACACCACTGTGTGTGGAGCAGGGCCCATAAATCAAACACATAAACACATTTGTCCAGTAGATGGCGTACTAATACATGATATTGTGTACTACAAGAATAGTATCCTTATGTGTGTGAATCTGTAGGGAAGATTTTAGTTTACAGCTCCTTTTGTCTTTAATTTGAAGAATGTTAAAAAGTTTGAAACTACAGTATTTGTTGAAATTTAAATGTATACAATTTTTAACAAATAGCCTACTTTATTGCTAAATAACAGGTCCTAACAGAGTAGACGTACATAAGTGCTCCCATCACTCTCTACAATGCCCTAAAAGACTGAAAAAGAACATTTCGTAATCCTTTAATGCCAAAGAGTATCCTACAGGGGTAATACATTTGTTCAACATCTTAGTGCCTAAATATATTTTAAAGTAGGCTTATTTACTGTGAGGGGACTTTCCTGCATTTACTTACATTCCAGCGCTTTCTATTACTTAATAATGGTAATAGAACAGCCTAATATATATCAGAGATGTTACAATCCAGTTTATAAACCGTTTACTGCCTGGCTGATGAATTTTTTCGAGCCTACTTTCATTGCGAATATAAAAACAACTTTTCATAGTTTTTATTTTCACTTCACTAAGCCACACATTCATTCTACAGCTGGTCTGAACGCGTTGCGACATGCCTACATTTCAACACGTGAAAAGACAAGCGCCCCCCCCCCTTTTATTTGTTGGTTTTTTTTTTTTGTTGTTTTTCTGTTTAGTCGGTTTTTTCCTACGTCACATGACTGAATCGTGTCCTGACGTCACGGCCCTTCACGGAAGTAAGCGCTGGAGATGGCGGCGGCCTCGTCAGCCTAGCAGCAGGAAGAGGATGTTTGGATAATATCACCGCATTGTAAGCCTTTCTAACAGAGCAAAGCCCCACAGGGTGTTTCTGCGGAGCCTGCTGGGACTGAGACGGCGCATTCCCTCACCTGGAGCCGGCCTCTGTGAGCCTGAAGCGGCCCGCAGGAGAATAAAATGTCCCTGTTCCAGTCGGCGCTGGATTTCCTAGCCGGGCCCGGCTCGTCCGGGGCGGCCAGCCGGGACCAGAATGACTTCGTCGGACAGGTCGTTGAGCTCGGTGACATGAAACTGAGGATCAAAAGGGTGATCGCGGAAGGTGAGGCGGGTTTATATCGCTAGCGAGAAGTGTTGATACCGTCCCGCTCGCCTGTTATTATGCGTGATGCTGGCTAGCTGAACTAGCTCACAGGTTAGCGTCGGTGACATATTTCTACTCGTAGTCAATGACAATAGCGTTTGCGACTGCAGATGTATGAGTCACTGAGTAAACACCGGTTGATGGTTTGGTTTCGTGTGTCTAAATTGTGATGTGTGAGGGCTGGTGCGTAGATAACTTTAACTTGAAGCTTGCCCTGTGCGTTAGCGTCTGTTCTGCTTGAGCTGCACTGTATGTGTCCAACCCAGCCCCAGAGTTAGCTGACTAACCTTAAACCTTACCGTCTTCCTTGGCAGTAAGATCGTAATAGAGTGGGCAGGAAGGCAGATCTTACCTGATATGGTATGGTAAAAACTTCATGTTAAATACACGAACAGGCCGATTAGAGCACCTGCAGAGCTTTGCAAGAGTCTTTGGTGTGACATAAAGGGAGAGATTGATTGAGTGCCAGTTCTCTTTCCTCCATGATCCCTCCTTGTTGTATTTTATTCATGTTGGATAGGGCTGCAGCGCAAACAAATAAACAAAATAAGACATATAAAATGTGTCGATGAACCCTGCGTTGTCTAATGGGTTCCTTAAAAGGTCAGCATCAAGAAAGTTGTGTTTTTGTCTGACATTTTGTCTGGTTTGCCAGTGAATCACCATCTAAAAAAAACCTTTTGATTTAATTTTGTTTATGTTATTAGACTTATGTTAAATGAGTCCCCTCGTCGTATGCTGAGATAATTCAAAGGAAACGCTTTTACAGCAACTTTGGTTCATAATAATGTGCCTGAGTTTGAACCTGAAATAGCAGCCTGTATTTGTTTGCATTCTAAAAAAAACAACAGCGTCTGGTTACAGGACACGTGTGAACCCAAAGATCAGGTTTCTTTTCTAGTGGCACCGTACAGGGATTCTTGTCCTCAATGCAAAAGGGCAAGATAATCTTTCTCTACTATCATTCATGGTTATTCGCCATAGTGACGGTCAGAGCAGACAGTAAATGTTTAATGTTTCATTAAATCACAGGTACATTTAACAAGAAATAATGGTTGAACCTGTGGTTTAATATTAGTAGTTAGACCATGTAGGCCCGAGATAAGAACTCAGTTTCCGACATGGTCAGAGCAGTAGGTCAGAGTTGAACTCATGGTGTGGATTCAGAAGGTTCAGCAAGCAAACTTCACTTCTATGTCATTTATGATCATGGTATTCCTACAACACAAACCAGCAAAATGGCAGAACAGATAAATACTCAACTAATTGATGGCTTCTCCAGTCGCATATTTGATTGAGAAACAAAAATCAGATTGGCATTATTATTGGCTAATCTCTCTGTTCCTTTTGTCAGCTACTAACGTGTGCCTTTTTCCCACCTTCTCACATTTCTGGCTAATTGTCAGCGATGGTTTCATCACTTTAGCTGGTTCACTCAAAGTACGCACTACCATGTCCGCTTTTCACAACTCTCTGACTCATTCTGAGGCAGTCTCTCTAAACTGAATTGTACGTGTAGAACACTTAATTCCTTATTTTAGATACATTTATGCAGACGTTATAAAAACCATAACAGCAGATTGAAAAGGCATCACTGTAAGGCTGCAAGAAAATGATTAACTGGTTTATTTAATTTAGTCATCATTAAGTTAAGAAAAATGCCGGAAAATAGTGTGAAATGCCCACCGCATCACATCATTCAGCTTACAAAATATTAAACAGAGAATTAAGCCCCAGTTAATGGTTCTATTTTTGCTCGATACATGACAAACAACTAAATTATTATTACAATTTTTGCTACTTAACTTTCTGTAAATATACGTTCAACTAATTGTTCACTAATTCCACTCCGATCAACAGTGCAATCACGGTGTTGTGATTGCACACCCTCAGCCATGATAGTTCGTTGCAGATAAGACACGCGAGACTTTTTAAAATCAAAGCAGTTGGTAAAACGCAGGATCATTTTACACTGAACCTTCAGCTTTTTCAAACATCCTGCTGACTGAAACGTGCCTTTGTTGTGTTTCCTCACCAAGATCTTTGGCGAGAGAATACAATGGATAGCTGTAACAAGATGGTTCTTTTTTTGTTGTTTTTTTAGAGCCATGACTAGTTTGTCTGTCCACTGTACCAGCCACTTGGGAAGATAGACAATCATCATTCAGGGTTTGTTCCACTTCAAAGAATCTATTTAGGTAACCACAAAATGCTCCTGGGTAAATTTAGGAACCACTCTGTGTGTTGGTTGGTTTCACAACCACGTACTTTCTCTTCGTCTCTCAGGTTAGTGAGGCAGGGATTCATTTCTCCACATTAATAAACAGGTTTTCATGAACCGTCACACCTGGTTTGCCTTTCTTTTCCTTTGGCTTTTATGCTCTCTTCTGAGCAGGTGAAACAGTAGACAACAGGTCTCTTTATTCAGAGGCCAGAGTGGTAGTCCTGTAATTATTTAACACAAGCACAAAGATTGTACCCTGGCAAGGTTTGATAGGCTTGGGTATGATGGAGTAGGATCTGCCCCCATTCTTAGTATTTTTCTTGAAATGAGTTGGTAATTGGAGCAAAGGAAATGGAGCCTTTCGGATTCCAATCCTTCCCTTCTGCCAGCAAAAAACAGAGGAAGACATGTGATCCCTACAGGGAAGGGTGTGCATTCTCAAAGCAAAGTCACATACTGCCATTGCACGCAAATGTTGCTGTAACGGACAGTAAAGGTTGTACTGTGTGCTTTGTGTTGTGTTTGTAATAAGTTAAAGTACGTGTAAGCGTAGGGAATAAGGGTGTAAGAAAACAGAGAAAAATATCTTATTGCAGTATTTTGTTTTGTGATGTTGTTTATTCTCGTTTTTAAACCCCCAACGGCTAGATCACTTTTTAACTTTTTTAAATTCAGGTTTGTGCATAGGGTGTAATGTGTTCTTTACACAATGATAGCTTTCCTAAAATGTTGTAACCCCTTGTATTATATTGCCAAATTCTTTCCTATACACAGCCATAGTAGGAAATGGGCTCAGAATGCTCTAAAACTGGTGTGTGTCCCAGATAAGGTTAGAAAACCGGGACTGGCAAAATGAAAGCCGCTCTACACAGCTGGGCGATCTTCCCTATGTAAATGAAACTTCAAAGATTAGAATCTTGAGTGTGCTCATTCAGGTTTTCACAGAGCAAAGCAAGGCTGGTAGTTGATTTACCATCACTATGGTAACCTCTCCCTGGCCCTGTTTGGACTGTGGCTTGTCAGCAGACACACAGGTTTGATGAAAGAGTTAGGAAACCAAAGGTTCTAGTCCGCTAGTCACAGTGGCTTTTAAATCTCAAAATAAAATAGAGCTGACACAAGAAATAAACTGTGATTTATATAAATTAGTTATGATTATGTATTTATAGTTATTGTCATCATTTAAATGTCACGTCAGTGTATAGACTATTAGTTAACGGTCCAGTGTGTAACATTCAGGAGGCTCTGTTGGCAGTAATGGAATATAATATCCATTGGTATGTTTTCATTAGTGTATAGTCACCTATAAGAATTGTGTTTTTGTTACCTTCGTATGAGCCGTTTTTATCTAAAGACGCTATGGGTCGCCTTCCGTGGAGGTCACCATGTTGAACTGCCATATTTCTACAGTAGCCCAGAAGGGACAAACAAAACACTGGTTCTAGGTAGGGGCATTGTTTTTTGCGCATCTCGTGGCCATCGTAGTTTGACGCCACGTACTTGCAATAGGCAACTACACCGCTAGATGCCACTAAATCCGACACACTGGATTAACTAAACTACGAGCAGTGGAAGCATTTGAAGCTCGGGGCTGTCAGTAGCACTTATTTGTAAAATTGTAATTAAAGCTATGTGGTGCTGTTCTATAAATATGTATATCCAATTGAGAGCAGTCTGTCCAGCTGTAGGGGTTTCAGCAAAAGACTGGAGTCATACCACACGCCACTGATTCTCCTTCCTCCCTAATAGCTGGGTTAGGTGTATGCCTAACTATGTGTGCCCAAAGGTTAGAGAAGTGCGCTTGTGATAGAAAGGTTGCGTGTGTTGTGTTGTTCTTGAGCAAGGCACTTAAGCTCTAACCTCACTCAGTGGCCAGCAGATAAGACTGTGGTTGCACTTGGCAGCTTCCAGGTTTAAATGTTTATGGGTGTGTGAAACAGGGCGTGCTCCCTGTAGTCACAAGCTAAAACCAAATGAATTCAATATCCAGTGGAATGGAATAGGATGTATGGTGTGCAGCTGGTATTTCCACCATTTTAAAAATGAACTTTTGTTTGTCACTACTCAGTAGTACATAGCCAGTGCTTCTTTGTTAGTTGTCACTTTAACACATTAGTACAACAACCCTAACAGAACAAATCAGACCTAGAAATGTGACAGTTGCAACGTTGGACTGTATTACAACAAAGGATGTGTGATATCAGTATCAGGTATCGCGTATGAAACTATGCTCGCGTACTCGCAATTGTAATCATAAAACTACTCCGATATTACCACTTTACAGCAGCGGGACATTGCATATCTTATTATCATATTTTTACCCAAATGTGAGCACTTGTGTTTGGTCTGAAAAAAGGGCATCTATTACATTACAACACATCCTATTCTCCATCACATAATCAAAATATTGTATCATTTAAGGAGCTTAAGAGTGCACATACTATACAATGTAAATGACGTTCTGGTTGCTCTCTCTTTTCTCTCTCAGGTGGATTTGCCTTTGTGTATGAAGCCCAGGACATGAGCAGCGGTAAAGACTATGCCCTCAAGGTAGGATAAAAGAGTACCCACTGAGAACACTCAAACTGTTGCTGCTTCTTATGCGCTGAACCACTCAATATTGCACGCTCATCCAATCGTTAGTAGGCATTCCTCGAGCAGGTTGCTTCTTAGAGAATAACATGGATCAAAGACCATCTGCTCCATACTCAGTTATTCTCTCCATGTTGTATGCGTACGGCTGAACAATGTAGGGTGAAGATGCTGTGTGTTGATTTTTTTTTCGTCCATGCCTTTAATGCAGGACGAATAAATGATAAATGCACAAGGCAGAAACAGGTAAAGAACGCTGCTACACAACGACTGTATAGATGAAATGTGGTTAAGGAAAAACATTAATGTGCTATATAGGATGTTTGGATTGGGCTTGCTTGAGAAAATCCCTTTTAGAGTTCACTCCGGGTCTAAATCCAGACTGAATTGTGAACTCGGCCACCACTCGTCATAATCACAGGAGCAGCTAACGTGACAATCTCCTATCCTGTTTGAATTGGCGTCGAAATCAGTTCCGCCATGTTCAAAGCAGATACTGTGGGGACTGTTTATTGAAGAATTATGTTCAGTCCTTTTAGGTATGTTTAATAAAAAGATGATACAGATTGGCAACCAACTAATGATCTCTATTTGAATTTATTTCAGAGGCTTCTGTCCAACGAGGAAGAAAAGAACAAGGAAATCATACAGGAAGTCTGCTTCATGGTATCCTTTATCATCATCATTAAGAAAACACACATTTCTGTTTTATCGTGAAGTCATCTTACCCATGACTTCAAGATTGTGGAATGCACCTCCAGCATATTATACTGTCATTACTAGTTTATTGGCAGCACCCCGCGATGCCACAATACACACACAAAACACAGGACCTAATATATATTTACGAAGCTTAAGTTTGTTTGCATCGTGTTTTCACACACACAAACTGCTATGTGGTTCTGTCCATAAACGCTCGTAATTGTGAATGTTTTTAAAGCACTCTGGTGTGTTTCTTGTTTGAGGAGAGCAGAAAATGAATCATTCAGAAGGGGGTTTCATTCACAGATGTGTTATTCAGTGGCTGCCAGGAAGAGTAAGATCAAAGCACTGAAGCACCCATTGTATTCCAATCTCTCTGTGGAGGTTTTACTTCATAGAGTTTCAGTTTTTTTTTTTATCAATGAGATAACTCGGTCAGTGGACGGAACTAATGAATGCTGGGAAATTTCTTGTACAGTTGGACAAAGTTGTGTCATGCCGTGCAGCACATTGCGGAGTCACAAGAAATTTGGAAATGAGGCACCGTGTTCCTGCTTCCATTGCAACATTTTTAGAGTTTGTGCCCTGAGTGTTGATGAGGCAGAAAAGTCTAAAGTCACGGGCGAACTCCTCCCGTTGCCCAACCACAATCTCTTCCTGCTTTCCCTGTTTTTGTGCTCATTTGAGGCTTTTGTGTCCATGGCCAGTGAGTGACCAGTGGTTTTTATCATATCACATCACCAACTTTGGCACCAGAGGATCATTAGTAGTTTCTGTTTAAGACTCTGAAACAAGAGGCCAGGCTTGACACCACAATAGTGTTTTTTTTTTGCTGAATGTTCCTTGACCTGCTTGCTCTATAGAAAAAGCTGTCGGGTCATCCCAACATGGTTCAGTTCTGCTCCGCTGCCTCCATCAGTAAGGAGGAGTCAGACACCGGACAGGCCGAGTTCCTAATCCTCACCGAGTTGTGTAAAGGTAAATGCACACTCCTACACAGAGAACTTCTGCTTCGTCTTCTATTTTCTCGCTACTTTTTCACTGAATCAGTACTTACTCATTCATCGAACTAAATTGCAATAAATCTGTGTCGTCAGCTTCATTTCCCAGTAACTTTAACTGAAAGACACTTGTGATGAAACAGTCTGCGGCCTTTCTACTTCCTGCTCAGTTTCCCTTCCGTTCAGCCTGACTCATTCATTAGGTTTTTTCAGCTTTGTTTGCTACTCTTTACTGACCCTTAAAAAAATCTGAAAAATCATTATGAACACTATTCAAACATTTAGTTGGTGTGTGTGAGGCACTTTTCCATTTGATTAACTATTTTATTGCACAATGTTTCCCCACACTGTCTCTTTCCTGGATGGGTTTTCTTTCATTCTTGTGTTTCTATCTCTTGTGCCTCAGGTCAGCTGGTGGACTTTATAAAGCGGGTAGAGCAGAGGGCTCCCCTGTCATGTGACACTGTGCTGAAAATCCTCTACCAAGCGTGCCGTGCCGTGCAGCACATGCACAAACAGAAGCCTCCGATCATACACAGAGACCTCAAGGTTCGTCGTTGCTTGGTGGTTGGATGAGTGAACGATGAAGTATCGTGAAATACCCCAGATTTAAATGGAACATCTCAATATGACAACAATTTGTTTCGTATGAATAGGACACTGCAGTTTAAAGCACAAGAATTGATAGTACTTTAAAAATTAGTGGTGATTATGATTCCTGATTGGGAATGAAATGTGCGTTGATTGACCTGCTAACCCAGTGCTTACTTGATGTGTTGCAGATTGAGAACCTCTTGATTAGTAACCAGGGCACCATCAAGCTGTGTGACTTTGGCAGCGCCACCACAGTGTCACATTACCCTGACTACAGCTGGTCGGCACAGAAGAGGTCCATGGTAGAGGATGAGGTATACACAAACACAGGTTGAGATTTATAACAATCAATTTTCTTCTTCCCTCGATATTTCCTGGATATTTAAGGATATTTTCAGGGAAATAATACATTTGACATGAATGCATTTTTTGAGAATGCAGGAAGAAGTCAAAGACAAAAATTGCAGTTCGCACTACACAAACATTTTATTTGAGGCATTTGTCAAAGAAAATAACCAAAAAACACATAATTTTCTTTGAATGCATCTTGCATTCTCTAATTTCGCTATGAACGTCAATTCTTCAATTGAGAGGGGAAAAAAAACACATTTTACAGTGGATCAATTGCAATGCTGGCGTCATGATGTTAGGCAGGAACCAGAAACCTTTGATTAAATTAACAGCTAGAGGTTCAGGAAGTGCTGATCAATTAAGGTAATTATAATTTATGCCATAACCACAGAGACACACACTCACACAGGACATTTGCCTCAGATGACCTCAGTATGCAGGTCCCCAGAGATCCTGGTTTCTAAATGTAATAACCTGCGTGTCCATCTGGCCCCTGTTTTTAGACTGGTAACACAAAAGAGATATTTATGATGGAAAATATCTGGTAGATGGCTGTTCAGTTTAGATGTGAATAATTAGTTTCTAAATGCTTAGCTTCAGAAGAAAAATAATTTAGAAGAAAGACATTTTTCTAAAGGTTCTCAAAGCATTCAACACACCTTAGATTAGCATTAGTTAGTTAAACAACTAACATTTGACTATAGCTGGATACTTGGCTCTGGTGTTTGTGTGTTTAGTTTGTTTTTTGTGTTTGTGTTTGTGTGTAGATCACAAGGAACACCACTCCGGCGTACCGAACACCAGAGATGATCGATCTCTACTCCAACTTCCCTATCAATGAAAAACAGGACATCTGGGTCAGAGCTTTTACCTTTTTTATTTTCTATCCTCCAATGTCAGGAGTCTAATCCAGGACCAACCGTGGTTAAGATTTTCCCATTGCTTCAGTCGAGCTACCCATCAGTGTCTGTAGAAAAGAGATTCTGTGTGAAGCCAAGATAATCAAAGATCAGAACATCACTTTATCCTGATTGGTAGACATTAGGAAGTGTAAAAAAACAGGATTTAGCTGTGTTGTTAAACTGGCAAATAACATTGCTTATAGTCAGCAGACCAGATTCACAGTTGTCTGTGTAATTATGGGTTTTTCTTGGTGTGGAAAAATATTGTTATATGTTTTCAGGGTCTCCATAATGCTTATTTCCTATAACCGAGGCAAAATAATAGCAGTGATTTGTCACACAAAACACACATAACAGAAGTGCCTGTTGATAGTAATTATTTAGGGGCCATTAACAGACATTAGCAGTAGTTGTTTAAACACAACAGATTGTCTTCTGACAGTGTTTTGGGTCAATATCTTTTGTTAGTCTGTTCATAAAGAAAAGTGGCTTGATAGTTTATTGTCTTTATTATCTCTGTTATGTCCACTCTCCCATGCAGGCCCTAGGATGCATCCTCTACCTGTTGTGTTTTAAGCAGCACCCATTTGAGGAGGGGGCCAAGCTGCAGATTGTCAACGGAAAATACTCCATCCCTCAGAACGATGTCAAGTACACCGTGTACCACGACCTCATACGTACGTACTTTCGTTCTAAGTGTGCTAGTTCCTGCCTGCATGTTCATTTATTCACCCATCCCTCTAGTTACCTCGACTCTTCTGGCCCGCAAATCCCAATTGTAACCACAGGTCAAATTTCCTGTCACCTTTACCAGCCACAAATATGCATTCAATAAACGTTCATATGGACAGTTAATTATTGGCAGTGCCTTGTTACAGCTAACCAAATTATGGCTAAACAGCTCCACCTGGTGGACAATTTAAACTTGTCCACTTTCGGCAAAAAGTGGTACAAAAATGTAATAATTAACCTCAGAATAATATAAATGTATGTTGATTGAGTGTTCATATTGATTACTGTGCATGTGATTAACATTACTAATTGATCATATATATAAATATATTTCATTTAGTTTTTTTTAATCCTCCTCGTCATTTACTACCTCTTCAGATTTTTAACATTTCCTTATTTTTTTCCACTGCACCCCTCTCCTCCTCTTCCTCTTCCTTGTGCTGTCCAGGTTCCATGTTGAAGGTGAACCCAGAGGAGCGTCTGTCCATTACAGAGTTAGTCAACCAGCTCCAGGAAATAGCAGCAGCACGCAACGTCAACCCCAAATCTCCCATTACAGAGGTAGGTGTGTGCATGATTGTGCTCAGCGCTGCTGTAAAAAAAAAAAAAATACAAAAAATCTACGTCACTAGATTTAAGAAGTAGGTATGAGAATCGAAACCAGTTCCAGTTGAGAACTGGAAAGGAGTCATGGCGGAAAGGAAGAAACAGGCCAAAGAATGGCGGCGTTTCACGGAGAAACGCAAACTACTATAACTCTACTCTTTCTGCCCTGTGTTCAGGCTCAGAGATAATAAACCATTTGTGTTGATGCTGAAAACCTGTGTAGGCCTACTTTTTTTCCACACAGAAAATCTAATAGGAATCAAAAAGGAATCAAAAAAAGAATCAAGCCGACAAGCAGAATTGATAATGCTATTGGTATCAATAAAATCTTACCTTTCGCATCACGATCTTTAAGTGATACTAAGGTAAATCTCTCTAAATCTTCACCATCAAGTAGTAGACAAATACAATGCTGTGCTGTTCTGTTGCTATTTGTGCTGATATTTTTCAAGCCCTTCTTGAATAGAAAGTCATTGTTTTCTTGACTGAAGTGATCACCATTGAAATGGAGTAAAATTATGACTGATAAATTACTCTGTTCTCCTAGACAGTAGAGAAATGCATTTGACCAAATTTCTCTATTTTTATAAAAATTGATTTAAGACTTTCCATTGTGTTGAAGCTCAGGTTTGTTGTAACTGTCTAAAGTGGTTTCTGCTTTGGGTATCGGTTTTGAGTAAGTGACAACTATCACCCAGTGCATTTTGGAGTAAACAAGTTGATTGGCTGGAGAAACAGAGGCGCATCCTCAGTGTCTGCCAGCCCGTGAAGAGGCTATTGACAGGCCGACCGCACGGCTTCTTCCGCTGTGTATGTGTTACCGTGCCCTCAAATTGCTGATGTGGTTGCACTTGCCTCACATACAACCAACACACACACAGTGGAAAGCTGAAAGGGGTCTGTATTCTCTCTCCCAGGCTCCTCTCTTCCCAGCTGGCATGGTCCTAATAGGTCCCAAGACACAGAGAGACATAGAGGTGGAAAGATGGGTGAAACTGAACTCAAAAACAAGCGTAAAGTGATTCCAAAACTTTACTAGTATAGCAGTGTTTCAGCTAGCATTGTGACTGTCATCTGCCGCCCACAGTGGCTAATTCATCACAGTCAGATTTAAGACTTTAGGTTTTTGAGTAGAAAAGCCTTTTACCCTGCATGGTGGCAGGCCACGACCAACTAAGCAGCCACAGCCTCTTATGATTCTTACCACAAATCCACAAATCCTGGTACTTATCACCAAATCCTCAGCCACAGTTGTGATTTATAGTATGTAAAGCTGATTTCAAAGTTGTTCTTCTTCCTTTCAACAACTTTCTGGTGTGCAGCAAGTATTTATCCTGAATTATATTTCTATTCCAATTAAAAGTATGAATACTTGAGATCATACCACCGTAGGGAAATATGTTTTCCTTGTGATTCAGTAGTGCAGACACTGTCCGCTGTATCCCAATCAGCTTCTTAACGAACTGATTCTCGATAAGGCTGGTAAATGTGTGCAGAGTGAAGGCAGATTTGGTGATCGCTGAGCTGATTAGGGTTAAGAAGGGGTTTCCCTGTGGGACATAAGGAGAGTATAATCCTCCTTCTCCTCCTCCTCTTCTCTTTGCTGCTTCCTCGGCACAGACATATGGAGAGGCAGGCTGTGAAATGGAGCAGAAAGGAGGGAGAGGAGAAACCTGTGATGGATGTGAAACACAGAGGGAAATACGGTAGACATCCTGGAGGAGAAGCAAGACTCAGAAGACTGCCTGGCTGCTTTAACGCAGACCCATACACTCCAGTTCTGAGAAATATTTAGAAATAGTTTTTTAATATACTTTTTGGAGTTTTATTGAACTGCTGCTTTTACATGTAGGGAGAAAGACAAGATCTGTTGCTTAACACTCAGGATTTTATTGATGCTCTTTTTCTTTTCCTCTGACTGTTATTTTATCATCCCTATTTTTATTCTTTCCTGGGATGTAATTTTCTATTTTCTGAATATATTTTCCATTTTTGAAAGGACCTTTTTGCTGCTCTAAGGAAGATCTTTTCAGATTTCTTTCTTTCCTTTCTCTCTGTAAAACTCTTTTCGGTTGCTGCTCCTCGTTCATATCTGTTTTTAACATCTTAGGTCCTTGTTGGAAGTGTTTTTTAAAGTTTTTTTTGTCAGCTTGTTTTTTTATTTTGTTATCTGTTACAATGTTGAGTACGTACTACTGTTGGCGTCCAGTGTATGACGGCTATGAATGTCTGCAGCTGCTGGAGCAGAACGGAGGTTTCGGCAACAACGGAGCCCAGCCGCCCATGCAGATCCACAACGTCCACAACAATGCAGGTAAATGTTTGTTTGCATTACAGTATTATGCTCTCTGTGGGTTTGGGGCAGTGTTTGTTCGAGAGGTCGCAGGGTTTGTGTTTTTTTTATAGTATTTCTCTGTTTCAAGTGTTCACACGTTGGATTTGTTATGCTGCACCAAACTGGTAAAATAACTACATTTACACTTAATTTCATGAAACTATTCATTTTTATAACCTCTAATTCCTAATCATCCAGGAACACATGGTCACATACACACACACACACACCCACACCCGTATTGCACACACCCCAGTCCCACATGGCAATAAGTAATCTGGTTAGTTCACCTGTGATCGTTCTGCAGTCAGTAGGTGAGCTGTTTTTAACCCCATTGGTTCAGATACTCTCATGAGTTAGAGTATAGAAATGCATTTGACCAAATTT